GGGCTAGCCTCAATTCCCACAACCCATAGCCGAAACGTGGAGAAAGAGGCAGTTTTATCAGCAAAGAAAGCAACAAAAAGCATTCCTCCTTTTGCATTCTCCTTACGTTCTGTTCCCCAACAGGAGTTAGTGGAGAAAGGAAGAACACAAGAGCTTGGATAGAGGGGAAAATGCAAGGGAAGGGGGGCAAAAATAAAAGCCAAATGAAAGTAGAAACAGGAAGAAAGATTGTCTGTTCATATAAATCACATGAAACCGAAACCACATTTACGGCATCAGAACTCCCGTCAGAGGAGTCAGATGCATTGTTATCGCTGTCACACAATGGCGCCTGAGAACATGTTGTGGTCAGTGCGCGTCGTATCTGTTCCCAGTAAAATACAGCCAACTGTGATGCACTATTTTTGATTATGAAAGTGCCCGACGAAGGAAGCTTATCTTTGCACACAAAATATAGCTGCATCGTGTCTTTCCTGCGTGCCAGAGGCTTGTGATCGTGAGTAGTGTAAACGGAGATCTTCAGCTGGACGTCGTTCAGGAAAAGTTACTGTGGCTGAAAATTAAACATTCGAACCTCAAAGAAAAGCTTGCCGACTTTCATAAGCAACTTTGCATATATTAGCTTTGTAGAGGTAATCGTATCCAATGGAGGCATATCCCAGAATGATAGCAAAGCCAGTGAAACAGCCCTTCGGAAGGTGAACAGCAAGAAGAATAAATTTCCCATTTTTTGAAAGAAAATAGTGCTTGCCTCTCCCTTTTTATATTTTTCTAATTGTGAAAATAGAGTCATGCTAAAGTTTTGTTGTTTAAATGTGGCAACAATTCATACATAGGCATAGTTATTATGAACTAGAAAAATTGAATACTCATTAGATTAGTGTAAATAGTCTACTCGAAAGTATGTTTTGTCAAGCTAAGACAAATGAACGTTTTGTCTTGTTCATTTTGTTGCCATTGTAAGTACACTTCATTCAGTGTTTTGAAGCAACATATTTGGGTGTACTTGGCATGTTACCATTTTGTTTTGGGGGGCACTTCTGATAAGACAAACTCCTGATAAGACAAACAAATGATCATGATCCCTTCAAGTTCGTCTTAAATGAAGTCTACTGTACTCTGCTCCTCTGAGCTCGGTATGAAGCGGAGTGGGGAGGAGAAATTCACAGAGCCAATCCGCACACACCGTACATTGAGCCGTCCGACAGCGATGGCGTGGGCAGCATAGGTGCCACGCTGCACGCAACTAACCAGGAGATGACCGAGTCCACGCGACCACTCTGTGTTTCAATGAAACTGTCAGTTGTCGCTTAATACAAGATCGCAGTAGAGAAGCGCACAAATGTATCGGAAAAAGCTGATAGTCCGTTCTGTCGCTGTTTCAGTCGCTCCGTACCCTGTAATAGTTTCGAAATGCGCCTTTGTGTCACCACTACGCGCTATAAAACGATCATGTTAGAGTGCCAGCCTAATTTCTTTTTTGCACTTTCGCAAAAAGGTAGAAAACACTTTCTGGTGGGTACTTTGGGCAACATATACAGAGGTACTGTATTTGGCAAAGGCACACGTCAGTAGACGGATATTTGTACTTGTAAGCACGCACTGCCATTTAGTGTATGATCATGCCGGGTTCCCGGCTGGTACAAATTATCGAGATTTCACTGCATTACTCGCTAAGTCACAGTTATTCATGTTGGTTACACCACTTTAGGGGAGAAACCACAGCAATAACACTGATAAGATAAGCACTAGCAAGCCCCATGAATGAACCGAATTACAACGTAATCGAACACTGGATATGGATGCGGGCGCGTCCTTTGCATAGCCAACGCTCAGTGTTGCTCTGTCAAGGATAATAATCGGCTAGCATTAATGACTTACACTTCGAATGGACAATTATCACGGAAATCGCCATATTATGCTCAGCATGGACCAGCAGGTCACACTTGTGCAGAATGGCGCAATTGGTGCTGAACTTCCACTCTTGTGTAGAAAACACCCACTCCGCTTCCAACTATGCACAGATGCAGCGAGTAGCCTGTTGGGCTAATGTGGTGATAACGAGCTTTGTACAAGCGATGTGCACATCGCGATGCTCTAGCGGTAATGGCAGCGGACGGATGCGCCTTTGAGCTGTCGCTTAACATAGGTGTGCAGTATGGCTACAACAGCACAATGCTTGCTGCACCATGAGCATGTTACCGTCAATACAACAAGATTTCTTGGTGCCTGTGACCTGAAGTGCTAATCTCCGCAACAGCAAGCTGCTGGCACTTCTGCAGACGGTGCGTGCTTAAACACTGTCCTGCTCCCGCATTACGAAGCAGCAGCGGTTGGCCACCCAGGGCGTTTAAGTAGCCGCTTATTAAAAATGTACAGTAGGCTTACATGGCGCTATACCACAAGCATTCCCTAGTACATGGCTGCGGATGCTTCCTGTGTTAGGGCTTTTCGTCGATTGATAACTCATACTGGTGTGTTTGTCAACGGTCGCCACCATGGCTTTGTTTTTCTCTTTATGATTGCCCACAAAATCACTGCCGCCATCGCGCTGAAGGCGCAGTAGTTAATCGGCCAGTCTCCGTACTTCTCGAAATGACAGAAAACCGTTTGCGGCACATTGTGGCATCTGCAAGTTCAGGGCTAAATTTTTATGGCGCAAAATGTTATTGCGTACTGACCAGTAGGCATAAGATGAACTACTATGACTTAAAACGGTCTTTGAATGCATTAGTCGCTATGAAATTCGGTCGGGGATTCGTCGCTACTATGTTTTAACCGTTGGTAAATTTAAAGCGGGTGGGCACTAAGGTGGTATAAAGAGGGCAAAACTGTATCACAGTAATCAGCAGGAATGACATGAAAAAACAAATGCTTTGAGCTGACTAGACCACTGGTAATGAAATAGTTGGGATTTATGGGTGGTAATCTCTAGGATGAAGACAGCTACCTCACACCACAACCACACTGTGAAGGAAGTCATGAGACCCTCCTTGCTACAGCAAGAGTCTCACATGCTTTCGGGCATATTAGTTACAGCCAGATTTACCAATTCAGACAGCAAATGAAAGGTATGGTTGATTAAGTAGGCCTTAATACGAATACCACAGTATCACCATCTAGCGTGGCACAACTTGGACTGGCCTGCGTGTCATGAATCGGTAGCTCACATGATAGGTGGCGCTCGATACTCAATTCTGTTTCTGAAAGCCAGAGTGCATCCTATGGCACAATAATAGTACAGTTTGACAACAGTCTGTGGAAATGTAGCAGGATTTACATAGCTAGTTTCATGTTTTGGCCCAGTTGGTGCATTGGCAACCTCACTGAATGTCTTTTGTCCTGTCTTCCGTGCTGTTTGCCATGTTGATAAATAAACCACAAAGAATCTAATAAAGTCCTAAAGTCACGCAAAATTTATATATAAAGCCAGTTATGGTAATAAAAAGCGATTCTGCTTCACTAGTGGCAATACAAAAATCCAAGCGAAGCTTTGCAGAAAAGTGTTTGAAAAGCAGGGTTATTACAGTCGACCACCGCTACAACGAAGCTGAAGAAACCTGAAAAAAATTTCGTTGAAGCAAAAATTTCATTGCAGTGAAATCGAAAAAAAACATATAGCTGACCTGAGCTAGCAAAACAAAGGAACTTTTATTCCAGCAGTTCAGAATGTGTCGGCTTTTTCCTTTTTTTTTTCCCCAGAAGCATCACAACGCGATTTTCACCCATGCATAGTGACGCCATGATGAAAAGCACACTGAAACGACGGCCACAATGGCTTCCGTGAACGAACCTAACAGTTGCGCTAACACCAGTAGCTTTCTGCTGTCAAAGGTGTCCGACAACGTCAAGATGGCGGCGTGGTATCGTGGAGCGATGACTTCTGCTTTATTCTATGTTATTGTTATCACCCACTTGTTGCAGCTGGTTGCTTTTGTTGATAACACAGATGAACAGCCACTCTGACCAGTGACCGCACTGGCCACGTGCAAAAAGAACCAATAGCATTGGCATCGAAAAAGGCATTGTTCTGAATTGCAATTAGCAGCTACAGGTAGGAAACTATGAACTGAGAAACTGAGCTAGAGCTTCGGATTGTCTGCAAGCACAGAAGCAAGCCAGTGACAAAAGCAGGGCAGTCTCATCGCCATCACTATCGAGCAATGGTGGCCTCGTGCATAGTAAACAGTGGTGGTTTCTGGCGATGCGAACGCATGTTGGCATTGCTAGAAAGACCTTGTGTACACATTTTTATGTTCTGAAAATGCATCAGAATGTTCGAGCTTGTGTTTACTGCATGGCATTAAATATCTGAGCCTGGAATTGCATCCTCAAATTTAAGTGGAGCGAAACGGCAGAAGAAAAAGTGTTCGCCGTGGCGAAAATGGTTATGCATTTACTCCGATGAACTGTTGACAGGGAACCGAGAATTTTTAGTTGTAGTGGAATTCTGCTGAAGTGCAGTTCATTGTAGCGGGGTCAGATTGTAGCAAAAAATAGCATCTCTCAACTGGCATTCTCACCTGTGCCACCCATTTCACTCTTCATCATTTGTTTCATTCCAAGAACACATGAAGCAAAAGAAATAAGGAAAAAAAACGATAAAAACCAAAGAAGAGAAAGCTACATTATCGAAAGGCTGTCACAAGCCTTATTTTACCTTTCCTAGGTTGTTAAATTCACTGTACAGAATGTTCTCTCTGTATTTTCTGGAATCCAGAAGAATTCTATGAACATTCTATGGAAGCATTCTATGAAATTATGCCAAGTTTACTTCAGTATGAAAAATACCGACCAGCCACAAACTGTCTTTGGATGTCAGAGTTTCAAGGTATCATGGCTATAAAAGTCATCAAGCATAGGGGGTGGTTAGGAAATACGAGCTTATGGATCTGAATAACTTAGTTTATATCTTAAAATGCGGCAAAGTCAATCGTATTAAATAAAACACACACATGCAGTGACACGCAAAGTTTACCATAAAAAAACGTTTCATCTACCTTGAGCATGCTGATCTCTCGCCCCTGTTCCCTGATCTCCAGTTGGAACTCATTGAGCCTTTGTTGCTGAAACTGCACCAGTGATCGAAGCTCCTTCACACAGTTGTGATCCTTTGGAGAAAGAACAACCCAGAGAAGTGAAATATTGCTTCCATTTTTAAGACTGCTGAACACAATAATGTCTTTTGTAAGAGTTTACTAAGTATCGCTACTTATGTCGAGCAAACGCCACATCATTTTTTCTGGTTTTGACTAGTACTATTTGGTGTCCCCCAACAGGGAAATCGCAGCTTCTACTTTAGCTGTTTGTACTTCAGGCTGTACCAACGAAAATTATTAACAAAGCTCGCTGATGTGTCATGGTTTCTCAGGATGGGTTGGCGTTGGTTCCTTTCGCCAGCGATGTTATCGCGTGCTACAAGATCAGTTCTCACCACCTGGCTATCATGATTCTGGGCTAGTTTGTAAGGACAAGAATGTTTAAATAGGATACAGTTCAATATAAATCATATACAATGATGAGAGCCCTATTTCGGAATAATGTGAATTTTGCAAAAAGTCACAGTAGCAATGCATTAGGAACAATACATTTATGTTTATGGGGCAATTAAATCTCCCTGGCTGTAAAGCTTGACATACTTCAGAACAACTGCAACATCCAAACATTCAAAAGAGCATATATCATTTTGCCCAATCATAAAACAGGCATCTGAAATGTCATCTTCCATGTGACCCCAGAGTAGAAAAGAAAAATCCTCATGAACAGTTGCCCAACCACATGGAGGTCAATGGTATTGACAGCGATAATACTAGAGGGAAGCTTTCACACTTCACTAAGACCTTAATGGTATTGGACGAACAAAGTTGCAAAAAGCCACCAAAGTATCCTCCTGAGGAGGAAGAAAAAAATAACTTACCGGAAGAAAAACCGTGTGTTTGCCTTCCCTTTGCTGCTGTAAAACACTCACGATTTTCAAAGTGAGCCTGCTCTATTATATCGTCCTTAACCAAACCACATAAGAATATGAAAAACACCATATGGACTCCTCAGAAACAAGACTTCATAGTTTAACCTTTTATGGTTTGAAACTTTCATCCAATTTCCAGCCGTTCCAGTCCGAAACAATTTTTCCAGTCTCGGGAATCGTGAAAGAAACAACTGTGCAAGGAAAAGCTCATTACATGATTATTTTTGCAGTTCATTTTGTGCTCAAGTCTTTCAGCAATAGCTGGGCAATGTATGGCAGTGCTCATAGCACTCTTCTGGGTGCAATTCGGGCTTATTTGCACGGTTTCCAGAAGAACATGGTTTTGTGCTACCAGAGCAGCAGTCTACAAGGTCATCGTCATGTTCGTCCTTGGCTTTTATAAAATCACTTCCTCCATCCTGTGATGGAGGCATGTGGTTGTCTTCAGTAAAACTTGCAGCTGGGCAAGTTGGTTCATATTTCAAGATAAATTGGAGTGTGCCCGTCGCTACCTGATCTTTTTTGTGTCCTTGTCTTTATTTGCACACACCAGTTTACCTTAAAGTGGTTATCTTCCTCACTAAAATCTTCACTTTAGCTAAAAGCTTCCAAACTATTCCCATAGAAGACACTTAATGAAAGGCAGCCATGCACCACCAGAAGCAGCACGAAAACAGTCACTGAAGCCAAGGAAAGCCAACTGTCAGATGGATTTATTTGGTTGCTTGTAACAATAAAATGAGCCCCCCCCCCCCTCCTCCTCTAAAAAAAAATCACCTTCTTTTGTTCATTCATAGCGAGGGCTTTTCTTGGCATAATTAATGCCTTACCTTTGCATAGGAAAGTTTGTTGGTGAGCTGCCATCTCATGCAAAGATCACGTAACACATGGCACCCTCTGGCAAGAAGTGTGTTCCACACTTTTGCCTTCATTACAAGTGGCACTGCCCGAGGCTCTCGGGGATTCCCAATAAAGCAAACAGGGAAGCACTTTCTACCGCAGCACAATGGGTAGAGTGTTCAACACACTACTCAAAAGTCGTGGATTTGGGTCTCTGTGATGAAAGGGTGTTTTTTTTTTTTTTTTTCCTTCACTTTCATTTCATTCAATTTACGTTATTATTATAACACAACAGTTCAAAGAGTCCAATCACTGTACCCTACACTTTTCCTGGCCTAAACGTCTGTTTGACTCATTCAATACATTATTCAAATGATTCCCAGCGTTATAAGTGCAGTTCAACAAACCTTCAGTTCATCTTTTGGAACAACAAGGCCACAGCCCTGCTCGCATGGCACTAGTCGCCGAGGGTTGTGCTCACAAGTTTCTCGGTGTGATGTCAGACAGTCAAGCTTGACAATGGCACTACAGCCAAACTGGGCATTGTCACACGACATTTGGAGCCTGGACAACAAGTTTCGCAGAATGCGTGGCACGGGCTTAAGCTGTGCTGCAGTGATGGACTGCCGGTCAACAGGGCATGTCTGCTGTCTTGACAACCACTGACAGATGCAGCCTTGGCAGAAGGCATGCTCACATTGTGGTGCCTGCAGAGAATATGAATGTTGAGTGTAGGTCTGAAATTATTATAGTGAAGCTGCCACAAAAACATTCACAGTGAGGGTATCAGTTCATATAGGTGAGGAGAATTGAAAAGGTTTCATCTGAAATGGGCACAGCCTCCAGCACTGTGTGGTCAGCTGTTTCAGCAGAACAGGCAATGCAACGATATATGGGAATCGACTATATAAGCCTTTCACACGCATTTCACCGGACACTATAAAACCCACCACTGGCACTAGAGAAAAAGACGAAATGTATCTTTCTTCTACTTGGCATCATTTATCTGTCCAGCTGCACAATTCAGCAGTAGCAGACTGCTAGCCATTGGAAAGCCAGAGACTATTACTGAGTCACTGTCACGACTAACACACTCCCTGCAACAGCAAAGATCAGCATTGCGCATAAACCCCTCAGACTGTATTCTATCAATAATCTGCACAATACGTTGACAAGACATGGCCATCAAGGTATCAGGCTTATGGAACAGTGACTGAAAATTGTAAGGCACCTCACAACACTATAGCAATGAGTGACAATAGGTTTTACTGCAGACGACACAGCTCATTCATGTGCAAGGTGAAAACAATGAGATGCCAGTTATTTAGCTAGTGTCAAGACATTAAAATTCTAGGTTTTTTTACCTGACACATTCAAAATATTCTTATTGCTTACAGTTATGGAAACTTTAGGATTTATTGGTGCTGTCTTCAGTATTATCTCTTGGTACGAGATTTCTTGTGTTGCTTTTAAGCATGATTTGCCAAAATATGTCTCTAAAGCAACTTTATTTTTTTTACTAATACTCATTAGTGTGTTTAGAAAATTTGTAGAGGAAAAATTATAACATTACAACTTGACAATATAACCCAATAAATCCAACAGACAATTCAGATAAAGTAATCACAGGGAACATTATTTGTTGTTTTCAACCGTAGTGTACTAATTATGAAATATGCTGAAATTATTTAGCGTGGATGAAGCAGCACCCTTTCCGTTGGTAGGATCCAAGTTCACTTGGCTTAACGGTCCAATGAATTCATTTGGCCATGTCCAACAAAAAAACTTGCCCCTCAAGAAAAAAAAACTGCCTTCTTTCGTTCTTTGATAAAACAATGCAGTTTTCACTATGCAGAAAAAAGAATTTTGTAACTCATACACTTTATGAGCTAAATGATTGAGGATTTCCTCTATTATAGACAACTCTTGAGCTGACAGCTAGTACATTTCAGATAACTTTTTTGTTTTTCCTTCTATGTACTTCACTCAACATCAGGAATAGCTTATACAATGTTCAACCATTCCCCTGCCCCATTTTTTTCATTAAATTATTGGATAAAACAACCAAATAGTGCTTTACAGGAATCCCCCTAAAAATGAATAGCTTATGCAATGTTCAACCGTTCCCCTGCCCCATTTTTTTCATTAAATTATTGGATAAAACCACCTAATAGTGCTTTACAGGAATCCCACTAAAAATAATTCATTTAGCTTTATATTGATATATGAAATTATCCATGGCAAAAAATATTTACTGCTACCTACAAAATATGAACAACTTTCCTGCAATGTCAAAAGAGCTAAGTACTATCTGAACATTTTTTATTATACTCATACTCTCCTTGTGACAATAGAGAATCCTTTTGACTCATGTTAAGCCACCTAATGTTGGCATAAGTGAATATGACAGCATTACAACAACAATATTACTAAAGCAAAAATCATTCAACCTATGACTTTGCAACTACTGGCTTTAAATTTAAAAAGAAGCAATGAGCAGAGGAGAGTAAATTGTCATTTTATAGAGAACCAGAGTACATGCGCCACTTTGTCTTTGAAAAAAATATCGAGACATGCACTGTACAGCAATGTTTGCATCATTTGAAGCATAATGCACCACAGTATTATGAGCTTGAAAGTTTAAATAGGACATCTTTTCTAGTCTTCCAGAACTTTAGCCAAAGCTTTGCGCTTTCACAATGTCACTGTCAATGACAAAGGCTAGTGCAACAGTTAGCTGCCCTACATCGGGGTCGTGTGCTGCCACTGTCAACAGACAACGCACAAGTCGGCTAAGCAGGGCTTGTACTGGCTTCAAAGGAGAAAATTCAAGGATATCACACGTTCTTCAAGGACTAAAAAAGGGCATATAAATGAGGATTTCATTTTCTAGTATAACAATGTTTTAAATTCCAAATAAATTTACTGCACTTATACAAAGAAATCACACGTTCTTCAAGGACTGAAATATGGTATACAAATAAGGATTTCATTTTTTACCATAACAATGTTTCAAATTTCAACTAAATTTATTGCTCATATACAAGGATATCATACATTCTTCAAGAACATAAAAAATGGCATACATATAAGGATTTCGTTTTTTACTTTAACAATGTTTCAAAATCCAACTTAATTTATCGCACCTATACAAAGATATCACACGTTCTTCAAGGACTAAAAAACAGCATACAGACTAGGATTTCATTTTTTATGACAAAAATGTTTCAAATTCCAACTAAATTCATCGCACCTCTACATACACAGTTGAAACTCGATAAATTAAAACCATCATCACAATCTACTCAAATTACTCTATTAAATCGGGAAGTTTGTAAAGTAAATAAAGAGGTTTTTCCATATTTTGAACCCTAAAATTGTAACCTAGAGACACCCAATATTTAATAAAGCATAGTTTTCGCCGCTAACCCAAGCGTGCTTCTGAGAAAATTCCAACAACAATAATATCACCGATTTTATGTGAGATGGCAGCATAAGATACAGTAATGGAGGAACTCAATGGAAGAGTTGGTGGGGGGAGGTCAAGGCATCCGCTTTGTAATTCACGTCTATAATTTATAAACATTGAAACAGTGTATGAATGACAACCTTTTGGAATATCTGTGAGAACACGTGAGTACACACGTGAAACCAGGTAAGGCTGATAGAAATGCCAAAGATGACTAGATAGGACCTTATGTTGGCAAAAGAAAGTGGAACTCACTCAGATTCACTCAAGGTATATAATTTGCGCTTTGGACTCACTCGCACTCAGACTCACCAAAATTTTCCTGAGCCAAACTCACATGCACACGCACTCACGAAAATTTTTTTCAACCGGACTCACTCGCACTCAGATTCACGAAAATATTACTCACTCGAACTCACTCAGACTCCGACTCACAGCCCGATCTGAGTGAATCCGAGTGAGCCGACTCGTGACCAACCTATGCTCACGTGACACAAAACTTGTCGCATGAACAAGGTAGCCCTCTTTATGTCAGTGAAGTTGACCCGCGGCAGCAGTTAAACATCACGGTGGAGTTCAGGGTCTTGAAGTTCGATTGGGTCCAAGCCACTGCACAGATGCACTTTCTCCAGGTAGCACAGGTGCACCAATAAAACAGAGAAAAACAGATAGCTCTACAGTGTCACCGGAGCTACCGCAAGCGCATTGAACCAGGATGCTGCCAAGATGGCTGCATCCTGGAACGACACTAGCACACCTTGTGGATAACGTCAAGTGAATACTTTCTATAAGCAGAGTGCACTATTTTTCGTGACTGCCAAACGGGATTTACAAGTATAAATACTATCCCGATTGTGAAACAGACACTATATATAATCTGTCACTATTCAAGGTCTTTTCGTTTCCACCAGGATATAATTACATGTTCTGGCCAGGTGTAGGTCCTTTAACATCTACGATGCCCATTAAAGGACCCCGAGTGATCAAAACTCATATGCAATCCTCTACATCAAAATTTTAAGTGATTCTGGCACTTCATTCTCAACCTTCTTTTTTTCTGTACTTGTACGGCCGAACAGATGGCCAGAGATAATTTATTGCTTATGTGCCTGTGCCACTGGTACCTTGGCTGCCAAAAAAGTGGTAGCAGCATTAAAAAAAGTAAAGCGCTCAAAGTTGAGTGCGCACTTTTACAAATGTATGGTATAAGTAAACAGGGTCACGGCATGGGTCACGCGTTTGCCAAGTAAAGTTAGCTATGCATATAGTATCTCAACAACACCAAGTAAACTAGGATGTCTAGGGAGCCTTCATGTGCACGCGTCTTTGTTTTGGGGTGGTGTCAGCCTTTGATCCACCACTTGCCGCCACCCTATGTTGCCAGTCCCAGTTTTCACGGCAACAAGCACCATGTTGCTTCTTGCGGTCACGCATTCCAGCTCTGCCACACTGCACCAGGTGCATGTTGGCGCAAAAAAAATGTGCTAGCTGCGATATGAGCTGCATTTGACTACACCGTTGACCTAGCTTCGGCTACGACAACATCCTCGCGCTAAGCGCACCTACAAGAACTTTGGAGTGTGATTGCCAGGGTGCGGCATGCCACAATGCGAAACCATCTGGATACTGTCCCGCTTCCCGACTGGCTCTCCCCAATAGTAACGCTGGATTACACAAGTGAAGCAAGATTCCATGGAGCCGACTACTTCTCCCTGTGTTTGTGAGGCGAGTACCCATTTTATTACGAGTGGGTTGAGTATATCGCCACATATTTAGTGAAATGGCTGACTTAAACATGCAAAAAAAGCAGTTTGAGCAAAGTAAACACGATAACTTGCACAGTAAAGAAATTGACCAGGCTTCATTCGGCTACGCCGGGTTATGCGGGCGAAAGCTGGTTAACATTAGTATGCTTGTTTATCCTCGTAGTCGAACCGCAGTTCACCAATCGAATGATATGACTAGTCGAACGTATGGCCTTGCATGCATTCACTATCTGCGTTTCATTGGTTTCGGAAGCCGTCACCGTATTCGTACCGGAAACCACCACGCCCGTAAACCACCAACAGACGCGCGCGTTCGAGTCTTCCTTTGCTGACACATGTTCACATTTTTGCACTTTCTTTTCGGTCGCTCAGGAGGGGCATTTGGAGACGTAGACAGACGAGCCGACGAACCCGTTCCCTGTAGACTCTTGTAGTCTTGAACATTTACAACACAACTATATGTTGTGCGGCT